CTTGGGCTATCTTCTACTGCTTTCCTAGGCCATAGCAAAGAGCTGGATTGGAAGTGGAGCAGCCGGGTCTTGAACCAGCACCCATATGGGATGACAGCACTTCAGGCCAGGGAGTTAACCCACTGTGCAACAGCACCACCACCCCCCTCCCCCTTTTTTTTCTTTTATTTCAAAGATTTATTTATTTTACTTGAAAGTCACAGTTACACAGTGGGTGGTGAAGAGAGAGAGAGAGAGAGAGAAAGAGAGAGAGAGGTCTTCCATCCACTGGTTCATTCCCCAGATGGCTGCAACGACCAGAGCTGTGCCCATCCGAAGCCAAGAGTCAGGAGCTTCTTCCAGGTCTCCCACGTGGGTGCAGGGGCCCAAGGACTTGGGCCATCTTCTACTGCTTTCCCAGGCCATAGCAGAGAGCTGGATCAGAAGGGGAGCAGCTGGGTCTCGAACCGGTGCCCATATGTAATGCCCACACTGCAGGTGGTGGCTTTTATCTGCTATGCCACAGCCCGGCCCTAGAGTCAGCTACTTTAGCCATCATCTGCTGCTTCCCAGAGGGCAAAGCATAGAAAGCTAGAATCAGGATCACAGCCAGAACTCAAATCCAAGCACTCTGATACGAGATGCTACCATCTAAAATGTTGTCAGCTGCAACACAAAATGCCCACTCCTAGAACAGTTATTATTTGCCTTATTTTCTACACTGGAATTTATTTATCATAAAATTCTCTTGTTGAATTACTGTACTGAAATAGAATGGAAACACTCCATGAATTTCTTATAAATTCAAAATGTCTTTTCTTCCAGAGTTTTATATGGACTGCTTTATTTTACTTATTTTGTTTTTGTGTTCAACCCAAATCTATATAGGAAGAAGAGACAAAGTGGAAGAAGTATTCATATTTTTTTCAAATGTGAATACAGTGTATCACTTAATTGATTTTACTTTATAATTTAGACCAGCTTGTTAGATGGTCCTAACAGTTATAATTCAAGTTGTGGAAACCATTAGAATTTTTATATATTTGATTATAGAGCGTATATATCCTCTACAGATAGCCCTGATTGTACTACATAGAAGTAATATAACTCTATGGAAAAATCTGCAAAGAAAATATTTTGTCTATATATGATTCCAAGTAGATTGTTTATTATGCTGTATTGCTTCTGTTTCTAAAATAGTATCATCACCTTATCATGTTTTTTAAAGATTTATTTTATTTATTTAAAAGGCAGACTTAGAGAGAGAGACAGAGACAGAAATGAGGTCTTCCATCAGCTGGCTCCCTTCCTAAATGGCCACAACCATCAGGGCTGGGCCAGGCCGAAGCCAGGAGCCAAGAGCTTCTTTTAGGTCTCCCATGTGGGTGCAAGGGCCCAAGTACTTGGGTCATCTTCCACTGCTTTCCCAGGATCTTTAGCAGGGAGCTGAATCAGAAGTAAGCAGCCAGGAAAAGAACCAGCACCCCTATGGGATGTGAGTGTCACAGGTAATGGCTTTACCCAGTATGTCTCAATGCTGGCCCCTATCACCTTTTTTGGGGGACAGTTTTCTGGGTTATCTATAGGTATTTAGATGAAAACATGGGCATCTTATGCAAGTTATAATTTGAGGGGGAGTGCTAGAATGTTTGGGGGTCTTTGTCAAGTTACAAAACCTTTCTTTGTAATAAAGCCTTGCTATTTTATTTTTTAATTGTTAAAACATTATGGAGTCACCATGAAGAATGGAAAGAAAAAAAAAACATAAAAATCACTTTGCATCATGCATGCTACATAGTAATTAGTCAATTGAATGGTCATTATCATCATATCAAATTTACAGGAAGTTCTGATATTTCAAGAATATCATATTTGATATTAATAAAATAGCAAACTGTTTACACATGCATGATGCAAATACAGGTATCATCGACTTTTTTTCTGTCCCAAATTTATAGAATGGAGTGGATCAAGGTAGATGATTAACCATACCACTTATGCATAGAAACACACAACATCCTAAACACATTATGATTAGTAGCTTTAAAAAAGTATCTCGTTTACATTTAAGTATTAAAAAAGCTCCATTAGGATCATCCAAATGAATATTATTTTGAGCATAATTCTTCAGTCATGAACAAATATAGTCAATAGGGGAAATTTTTAATATACTTATGTATGTAATAAACATTTTCCTGACTTTTACATTCAATAAAATATAATGTAAGTTTGTAATTTTATGACACAATTCTAGCTTAATTGCTCCACATGAGAAATATTCCTTGAAAAGATCACTGAATTCCAAAGATATGGTTTTTCTGCTTATAAATATATTCTGGGTTTTACTCTAAAGGATGTAATTCAAAATGACAGCTCAGTGAAAAGGGCTTGATACAAAGATATATAAAATCTCAGCTGATTAATTTTTATTTATGTAAAATTTGAAGAATTTCTTCTTTCACAGATTCCAAATTATTTCCCACCTGCTGTAGGTTTTAGATTATAGTTCAAATATGCATGTAATACAAGCAGTAAATAATTTGATCACAGTGATCTACCTGTTATGAGTGGTGATAATTCAACCTGGTGAGATATTTTTGCAGATGTGTTCTGAACCCATGTGGTTTTAGACTGAAAATAATAATGTTTTGTTTTTAATGCTTCATTAAGCTAGGAGGTATTTGAATATCAGATGAAAATAAACTTATACAAAACTATTTCTTTTGTATAAACCCTAGTTTTCTTGCCAGTGAAATGTGGAAAATATCAGAACGTTTTGTAAAGGAAATAAGATGGTGATGACAAAGTTCCCACATCCTCTGTAAATGCTTTAAATTTCCAATGCCCTTATCTTCCACATTCTTTCCAAGTGGATGTCACATAGGTACCCTCATACCTACAGATTCCAACTTCAGTAAATACCAGGTAAGCCTAATGCTTCATCCATATTCTCTTTTTATTAGATAAATCAGAAGTTGGGTGTTTCAGTTGGGCCTCAGGACATCATCATGGCTTCCTCTGGGCAGCGTAGATTCTCTATCACAGAGACACTTTCACATCCCAGTGTCCCAGTGTCCCAGAGTGTGAATAGCCCCTGCCACACTCCAAAAAATGCCCTAGAACCTCAGCAACAAGGGCATCATCTTCCCTCTGATCTGAAAATTCTCACTAAAATCCCTGTGAATAAGAATATTGATGTCACCCATGAATAGATTTGCTATTTCCCACACTCTGTATTGAACATATTTTACATGCACAAGACCCAAAACAATACCAGAGAGTTCACAATACCAAAATTATTTAGTATGCCAACAAAGTAATTTCCCAGTCTACTCTCTTAAGCCAGCTATTATAGGTTGCCATCTGTAAATAGTAAAAAAGATAAAAAAATTAAAAATAAGGAAGAAAACAGGGAAGAAAGGGAGGGAGAGGAAGACAGAGAGAGAAAGAAGAAAAGGAGGATGAAGAGGTAGAGGAGGAAATAAAATTGAGTGCTTTAAGATTTGGGACCATAGACCATATTCTTCAATAAAATAATAATTTAATAAGACACATTTGCTTCTTCTTTTAATTGTTTATAAGTATTTCTTTTAAATATTCATTTATATACATTTTTATTTTCCCTTAATTGCAAACTTTGCTGAAATACTGTAAAATTCTGTATCTTTACAGATATTTTAGCAGCCATTTGTTACATACATTCCACAGCTTCTTTTTCCTTTAGTGAATTAAATTCAAGTTTAAAATAGAAAATATATATCTTTATCATGTACAACATGTTTTGAAATATTGTGGGTTGTCTTGAACTTATTAACATATGCATTTTAAGTAGTGTTATTTCTAATTGCTACTCTGAAGATTTAGCTATTGGACTTTCAGATCACTAAGCAAACACATTTCTGTGATAAAATATATTTAATCATTTAAAAAATTGACAAAGTATTAGTATATGGAAAACATATAGTCAAAGGAATAAATGTCCATTTAGCTAAATTTTCTCAGGGTGATATTTGTGAGGAACTCATAAATAATAAATACTCCTTCTGAACTTTGAAGAGGAATAAAGTTATGTTTTGTTTTTAAAAATTGTTCATCCATAAGCTGTACTTTGGAAATTTATATTCATTAAATAAAAGTTTAAAAAAAAAAGCCAGCACCGAAAAAAAAATTGTTCATGCAAAAAATACCTTGTTATTTAACCAAGTTTCTTACAAAATCAGTAATAGAAACATTCATCTTCTGCATTCTAAATCCTAGGACAACTGAAATAATTCTTGAAATGCACCAGGAATCCAGTAGGTACTGACTGGTGTTAAATGTAACACTGTGAAAGAAAACTAGATATAACAGAAGTGAGAAATACTCATTTTCAGTAAGAAACAGAGTTGAAACAGAGTTACAGAGAAGATATAGCTGTGAATCATTCCATTATCATACAAACTCTAGCAATTTTCAGCTACCACAGAACTAAATGAAATAAGGAGTCAGAACTACAGAAATGCAAATAATATCAATATCATTTTACACTTTCACAGCATTACATGAAAATGACTCAATACATATAATTGCTAAATAGAAGACAGAATTCTTATACTAATTATATAACAAATAATATAGTGGCATATGGGCTATAAACACAAGGTTTTAAACTATATTAGAGTTTGCACATTGCACTATATTCAGTTAATAATATATTAGGGTAAAATCATAACATATTGTAAATATTTAACTTAATAGGAACCAGAATCATAGAACTGAAAAAATATCAATTCCTAATTTTATATGATAGTAACCCTGAGCATGAGTCTCCTCAGAAGTTTAAATTCTGAAAATCTGAAATTTTTATCCATTAGCTTCCTAAAGACCAAAAGTTTTGGAAAAATAATTTATTCCTATAGCTTTCAATGATGTTGTAAAAGGTTAAACATATATACGATCTGAAGAGAAAATAGATAATCACTGACATTGTAAATAATAAAAAGAGATGCACTAATTTAGACTTAATAGGAAAGATGACATACTTTTGGGGAATCGAGGAGGATTGTCATTGACATCAGTGAGGGTGATGTTGACAATCGTTGTGCCAGCTAAGCCTCCCAGCTGTCCTCCCATATCCTTGGCTTGGATAAGTACTTGGTATTGCTCTTTGACTTCTCTGTCCATGTTTGGCAAAGCTGTTCTAATAACACCTTAAGGGAAAAATAATAAAGTAATATAAATATCACAAATATGTTTACAAAATAAGGTGCAACAACAACAAATGCTACCATATAGATTCACTAGCAAAGACAAGCTACCAAAAAACATGTATCTTTTTAAATAGTGGTATACAAATTTTCAATGGTAAGGACATCGTTTGATATATGATAACAACAGTATAATAAAATAATGTGCAGAGGTGAGGAATACAGTTAAATAACAATGTAACAACTCTGAAAGACTGTCATCATAGTTAATATACATGATCCCCCTTTTTAAAAAAATATATTACTTAAAAGTCAGTGATACAGAGAGAGAGAGGGCAGGGGAAGAGAGAGAGAGAGACAGAGAGAGAGAGAGAGGGAGAGAGAGAGAGAGGGAGAGAGAAATGGAGAGAATCTACCATCCACTGATTTAGTTTCCAGATGATCCCAATGGACAGTGCTAGGCCAGGCTGAAGTCAGGAGCCAGGAGCTGCATAAGAGTCTCTCAAATGGGTGGCAGGTGCCCAAGCACTTGGGCCATCTTCTGCTCTCTTTCCCATGTCATTAGCAGGGGGCTGAATAGAAAGTGGAGCAACTGAAACATGAATGGGCACTCATATAGGATGTCATATAGGATGTTATAAGCTAGTATTGCAAACAGCAGCTTTACCAGCTATGCCACAGTATCCCCCCAAATGATCCTGTCTTTATTTTTTTTAATTATTTTTTGTCAGGTAGAATTAGACAGTGAGAGAGAGAGAGGGACAGAGAGAGAGAGACAGAGAGAAAGGTCTTCCTTTTCAGTTGGTTCACTCCCTAAGTGGCCGCTATGGCCATTGCGCTGCGCAGATCCGAAGCCAGGAGCCAGGTGCTTCCTCCTGGCCTCCCATGCAGATGCAGGGCCCAAGCACTTGGGCCATCCTCCACTGCCATCCGTGCCACAGCAGAGAGCTGGACTGGAAGAGGAGGAACTGGGACAGAATCCAGCACCCCATCTGGAACTAGAACCCGGTGTGCCGGTGCCGCAGGCAGAGGATTAGCCAAGTGAGCTGCAGTGCCGGCGATCCTGTCTTTAAAAAGTTGTTAAAAATTGTAGTTAAAAAATACACATATAGTGAATGGGAGGGGAGAGGGAGTGGGAGAGGGGAGGATTGCGGGTGGGAGGGAAGTTATGGGGGGGAAAAGCCATTGTAATCCATAAACTGTACTTTGGAAATTTATATTCATTAAATAAAAGTTAAAAAAATACACATATAAATATTAAACTTTAAACTGAGTGCAGTTTTCAATGATTATCATATTCTTCCTTCTTGTCATTATTTCTTAGGATAAATATAGTATTTTAATTTTTTGATGCACAAAATGTTTCCTTTATGTCTTTTATTGTGTCTTTCAATATGTTCCTTAATTATTTTAGCAGTAGAGTTTATATTTAGTCATCACTAAGCTTTGGCATTCCTGGACCCTCTTTCTAAGTACCAAGTTCCTCCAGGACCAAGGACAGTTCCGACTATTTAGAAGGAACTCAATAACTGACAAGCTGGCATGAATGACTGCCTAACTAAATGAATGAATCTATAAATAACTCCATTTACAATCATGAATCTTTATATGTGCATATTTATATATCAACTACTCATTTCTGTTCATGTCCAATTATAAAACTAATTTATATTTATATTTATTCACAGTGGATTAACTTGACAATTTGGATTCATTGCAAGTAAAATCACGAATACATTTTACAACAAATTCCAATCTATATTAAATGGTCTTAGGAAGAGATTTGGTAGCATTTGTTTTAAACACACATGGCTTTCACAGTTTCTCAAATATAGTAGCAATATAAATAACAAAGATTATATCAACCATCAACATATACATTTAGCATCTGAATCATAAACCAGATATGCATCCTCATTTTATCTGCACTTTCTACTTTCTACTCATCAAATACTGATTTGTTGCTGATTTAGAATTAATCTCAATATGAGATAGTTTCTGACACTTGGAAGTATTTTTTTTTTCAAAAAACAGCTTTCATTTTTGCTACTGATGCTTTATTCATGAATTTGTAATGATACCTTTTTGATCCAATCAGCTGCTTCTCCTCTCTTCCACTTGGGCTCTTGACTTTTAACAAAGATTTTTTTTATTCTCTACAATTTAGTGCTTTGTTCCTGCATTCCTTTAGCTATGTTACATCTACCTCACTTAGGATGCTTATATTTCCTAGAAAAATGGATGTTTTTGATTCATATGCATACTGTATTGGCCTATTGTTGACTGAGATCTATCTTGATTTAGTTCATTCCAATGTGAAAATCAGGTATATTGTTTCTTCATTCAGAGAAAGAGGAAGGCAGTGATGTTGAGGGGGAGGGAGCAGGGAGATGAGAATTTCTCGGGTTATCTGCTGAAATATATAAAAAGCTATCTCTGGGAGCTGGTTAATTGAACTACTAACATTTATACAGAAAAAGAGAGAAAATAGGTGGCCTTGGACTTATTTTAATACTAGAAACATTTTCTCTGGTAGTATATTAGTTGTCAAGATATCTCCATCACACTCACTGCTGTGTCCCCAGGCTTCATCCTGTGTATGACAGGTGATTGTTAAATCTAGCCCTATTTTCAGTGTCAGGCTGCCTAACATTGTGAGAATCTAGAGAAAGGAAAGGACAGTACATGTAGTTTCAAAGACAATCTCCATGATGTGATTCCACCTCTCCATCACTCTTCCCATTGAAAAATCTTTGTTCTAGAGAACCACAATATAGAATTTATACCTTTCCTTAAAGAATTTAAGCTGGAGGACCCAGGCAGACTGCACAGTCCAAATTGGGAAAAGAATCTTCAAACATCTTTGTTTACTGAAAAGACTTGGGTGTGCATAGATTTCAGCCTTGTGGTTAAGGCACTCACATCTACATTAGAATAGTTGGTTCTGAATCCTAACTCCAGCTTTATACTAATTTAAACTCTGGGAGGTAGCAGGATGACTCATTAGGATTCCTACCTTTCATATGGGAGTCTCCCAGCTTCAGCCTGCCCCAGCCTTCCTTGTTATGAACATTTGGAAAGTGGATCAGAGGATGGGGATGCTTTGCATCTATCTATCTATGCTTCTCAAATAAACAAGTAGAATTTATTTATTCATTCATTTTAATATTTATGTGAAAGGAAGAGTTACAGAGAGACCTGGGGGGGGGTGGAGAAAAAGAGAGAGAAAGAGAGAGAGAGAGAGAGAGAGAGAGAGATTTCATCCACTGGTTCATTCCCCAAATGGCTGCAATGGACAGGGCTGGGTGCCGCTGAACACAGAAACCTGGAACTCCATCCAGGTCTCCAGAATAGGTGCGGAGCCCAAGCACTTGAATCATTTTCTGCTGCTTTCCCAAGCTCATTAGTAGAGAACTGTATTGGAAGTAGAGTAGCCAGGATATAAACCAGTACCCATATGGAATGCCAGTGTCACAGATGGTAGCTTAACTTGTTATGTCATGCTGGCCCCATAAAATTCATTTTAAAAGAAAGAGGGAAGGACAGGGAAGAGAGAGACAGAGAGATCTGCTACCCAGAAAATAGCACTTATTTCTTATTAACTGCTAAAAATCAACAACAAACAAAAATGGATTACCTGTCTTGAGGAAGGAGACCCATTGCAAAGAATGAACTAAAGTACTTCCACAGAACATGATAATCAGTGTACAGAAAGTCAGTATTTTATTATTTCAGCTTTTAGTTTACATTTCTGTATCCATCCCTAGCTATCACTCAGATTTGTATATCAAGTCCCAGCTACTTATTTGCTGGATAATAGCTGAAATCTAAGTTGAAAAGAAAAAGGAGCCTAAGTTTTTGTAGAACAGCATAAAAACGCCAGACATGGTGCCACAACTTTCATTAATTCCATACAACTCTGAAATAAATGCTGTTCATTTGGAAGAAAAATAGATACCAAATTATGCATCAAATCATGGTATGATTCAAGCCTCTTTTACCTAATGAACTTTTCAACATATATTATCAAGACAATTAAAGTAAAAGCAAGAAGGAGAAAATTATCCAGCCAACTATTTTCTTTGCCAATATTGATGGACATAGGCAGATGAGAAGGTTAAAAATTTAAAAAGATCTAACAAAGCTTGGTAATAGGCCAGAGGACATAGTTTTCCTTTGCAATCAGCCTCCTGCTGTCCATTAGCCATGTAATCTTTGTTGGGCCTCATATTATTTTGTAAAAGTTGGCTAAATACTCCCAGAATAAAATTTTGTGATGAAAATAATGAAATATTTTATGGAAAAAATCTTAAAAACACATTGCATATTTGCAATCCACTATATGTTTTTTTCCATGAGCTTTTTCTTGAATTAAGGGATAAATTGCAGGAATGAGACATCAGACATGAGAATCAGAAATGACTTACACTAAAATAAGCATTTTCTTCAGGCACTGAGGTTAAGAATGGGGTATGATTTTGCACTCTTCCAACTTAGCCCCTCCAGTTCCACAGAGCATACTTTTCTAGATTTCCCTCTGCTTTACTGCTTCTGGTTGTTTTGGGTTATTGATAGGATACTGGCAGGTATAAAGAAATTGAGCTTGGGTTTTTGGTCCCTTGTATTCCCCATACCCCTCACTGTGTCCTACAAGAACCCCCTCACCAGATGACACACTATTTGTTCCTTCAGTCCCTTATGGGAACTGCACCCACTTTTATTCTTTCTGCAGGCATTGCGCTAATCATGATGTTTCCCACAAGCTCGAAACACCTTAGTGAGCAATCTTTTACTAAACTATCTGCTATTGCTCCATGCGTGTCACCTGTTCCATCTGAGAGAGTAATGATACCGTCTATGTTCATGTTTCTTTTATAGGATTTATATTTAGTGAGTCTGTGTTTGTAGCAGTGGGGAGCAGATCCTATAGGGGTACACAAATAAGTAAGGAAATATCAGAGAGTGAGAAGTACTATGAAGAAAATGAAGTCAAGTGAATGTGA